GTAAGCAGCCAGCTCAGCTAGCAGGGTGAAAGGCATTAGGTGGGTAACCAACAATGTCTGCCTCCATGATGAATATCATTTTTTCTCCCTACACAGTTTTAAAGTCTCACTTGCTGCTGCTGCTGCTGCTGCTAAGTCACTTCAGTCATGTCTGACTCTATGCGACCCCATAGATGGCAGCCCACCAGGCTCCCCCGTCCCTGGGTTCTCCAGGCAAGAACACTGGAGTGGGTTGCCATTTCCTTCTCCAATGCATGAAAGTGAAAAGTGAAAGTGAAGTCGCTCAGTCATGTCTGACTCTTAGCGACCCCATGGACTGCAGCCCACAGGCTCCTCCGTCCATGGGATTTTCCAGGCAAGAGTACTGGAGTGGGGTGCCACCACCTTCTCCAAAGTCTCACTTAGCAGCCTTATAAGGCTTGAATTAAATGGGCTAAATTGTAACTCTAATAAATTAGTATTTTCTAGAAACCAGTTGGTTTCTCTTTTACTTTGTGACTGAACCCCAATCCCACTGCTTCTTAATAAAAGATTAGATTATTTCCCTTATACTTTAAAAAATTGATTGAAAGCTCTTTGGCTTCTGTGAATACATGAATCCATCTCGTTAGGCATCTTGCAGAATTGCCTTTCTGATATCATTACATATTACATATCTTTATTCAGTTCAGTTCAGTTTAGTCGCTCAGTTGTGCCCAACTCTTCACGACTCCATGGACCACAGCACAGCAGGCCTCCCTGTCCATCACCAGTTCCCAGAGTGTACTCAAACTCATCTCCATTGAGTCGGTGATGCCATCCAACCATCTCATCCTCTGTCATCCCCTTCTCCTCCTGCCTTCAATCTTTGCCAGCATCAGAGTCTTTTCAAATGAGTCAGCTCTTCACATCAGGTGGCCAAAGTATTGCAGTTTCAGCTTCAACATCAGTCCTTCCAGTGAACACCCAGGACTGATTTCCTTTAGGATGGACTGGTTGGATCTCCTTGCAGTCCAAGGGACTCTCAAGAGTCTTCTCCAACACCACATATCTTTATAAGTGCCTTATAAAGGCTTGTATATAGGGCTTCTCTGGTAGCTCAGTCGGTAAAGAAACTGCCTACAGTTCAGGAGACCTGGGTTCAATCCCTGGGTGAAGAAGATCCCCTGGAGAAGGAAATGGCAACCTACTCCAGTATTCTTGCCTGGAGAACCCCATGGACAGAGGAGCCTGCAGGCTACGGTCTCTGGGGTCGCAAGAGTCGGACACGACTTAGTGACTCAACCACCATATATGTATATAGGGGCTTATAAGAGGAAGACAATTCTGTAGACATTGTGAACCTTCTTCTTTTTTTTTTTTTTTAACTTTTTTGTAAAGTCTGGAGGCTTGGAGGACTCTGTCATTTAGTGGGAGTTGAACCAGGAAGACCAACCGCAGCTGTTGCCTGGATGTCAGGGGATAACTCAGCTGAGCCGAGCCTGCGACACAAGTGGGGCTGAACCCGAGAAGTAAAGGTCTCCAGCTGGGAAGAAAGAGTCCTGACTCAGAAAGGGCCATGGTTTGGGCATCTGAGCAGTGCATAACTTCCTAAGGATAAAGTTGGAATCCTTTATTCTCTGGATCTGTAATTGTCTAATCTTTAAGTGTCAAATTCTGATATTTTTTAACCTGAAAAAAAATTCTCACATAATAAATTTGAGCTGAGAGTGTCAGTGTATTCACTCATCTAACCTTCCTTGAATGCCTGCCATGCTCTCAGTGCTGGGGGTGGAGACCACAGAAGACCAGACCTGTCTTTGAGGCACTGATAGTAACCTGAGAGGGTGTCAGCCACCTTGCTTCTCCATCACAATAGAAAAACGAATATGGTAGGTCAGTATTGTCTGCCAGGCGGGTTGGTTGGGCTGGTTCCCCTTACCATTTCAAAGATCTTGGTCTCTGTATTTGAATGAGTGTAGTGAAATCACATTATATTACAGTAACTGTGATTGTAGTGAATTCTGTTGAGTTCCAAGAGGAAGCCAGCCTTACCTGCTCTCCTTTCTGATATTTCAAAAATAGATCTCAAAGCAACTCAGTGCCTAGGGGAAAATGTTTATTTCCAAAATACCTGACGTGATTGATTCAAGTCAGTAAATCTGTAACTTACTAGAAAGTGTCTTTCTGAGAGCCATATCTTAAATATTAAAATTACTGCTGAGAAAATGATACTTTTCTAACCCCAGAAAAGTTTAATGTCTTATATGCAGAGAGAAAGCAAAAACTAGTGCCAAGTTTATTAAACGGCTGTCTTACCTTCCCTTAAACCCCCAAGTCTGGCCTGACTCTAGGCTTGAATGCACAAAATCATGTGAGCCCTGATTCATGGCATCAAAGGCAAGTGGCCCTCCATTATTTCTGGGGGGCCCACTGGTGGCCAGAGGTGGCCCGGGTTTTGACTGCCTCCTTTTGCTCCAAACCTCAGTCCTGGCTTAAATCCAGTCTTCTGGGGCCAACTTATCTTCATGTTTCTCCCCGCTGTAGGTACAGCCTATTGGGTGGTGCTCTTTGCAGGAAGGCCTCCCAGACAGGAAGTGATTTAGGTAGGTCACAGGGATCTGAAGTTCCTCAGCCATCTCCACCACAGTGGGGAGTTCATCACCTTCTGGGACTTGTTCCACCATGTAGTATCTCTTTTCCCGCTTCTCCATTTTCCCCAAATCCAGAGACTTCCAAAACGGAGCTTGTGTTTAAAACTTTCTTAATTAAATAGTCTCAGAAAATGTGTTTTCCTATGCTCAAAGCATTCACCTTTCTTAAGACTGGTGATCCACATTTATAGCCACATTTGGGAAACTGGAGAAAGTCTGAAATTGTAGTTTGTCTTTAAATGGGCTCATCATTCAAGGTGTCCTGAATCAGCATTTAAAGCCTTGGGGTCCCCTCCGACAGGGGCTGGTCTAGATCTTTGGTTCCCCTGGTTTTGGTCTGTTTCCAGGTGTGGCACTGGGCTCACTCTCTCTAGCCTTATTCTCTCTTATGATAGTCTGGGTCACAGGAGTAGTTTTAGAAATAAAACACTCTAGAAGAACTGGGCCCAGAAGCAACTTAGGGCCTGTAAAATGCCTATTTCCAGGACTTCCCAGAGTGGCCCGGAAGCCTAGGTCATGGGGTGAGCACAGCAGGTCTTCCTGGGCATTGATTTCCCAGCAAACTTGTAAGAAATGTTTAAATGTTAAAACTACAGCATGTTAAAAGAATAGAGTACAAACTTCAGACCGATTTCGAGGTAAAATGTTTCAAGCATGAGAAGTTTCACTTCCGGGCTACTCTCCCAGGGGTCACATAACTCTCCTCCAGTTAAGGCAACTCTGGTGTAAGTTTGAGAAACACTGTACTTAAAGAGGGTACCATCATACAAAAATGTCCAGCTTTTTAAAAGGTGTTCTGTTCCAGCGTTTGTTAACTCCTTTTGCAGATAATTTGCAAACTACAGTTATTTTGTGTAGCATATGTGCCAAAAAAGTTGAGTTGGTGTACTTGCAAGTGGAAAACTTAAATGCAATGGATACTTTTTAAGGAATCCTTAAATAAGTTAGTGTATAAATAATCACCTCCTGGTTATCAGTTTTGTAACTCTGAGCTTAATAATATTTTAAGTGGGTTTTTTCAATTAACTATAAACATCCACTTAATTGGAAATAGTTCTTTATTAATTTGATTTTGAAAAAGTGTCATGTATCAATAACCACTGATTTCATGTGACTGAGCAATGGAAATTTAAGATTGTATTTATTACTGGAGTTGAGTAATCTAAAAAGCATTTTTTAGATCCCTAATAATAATAAATGTGTAAATTATTATTTATAATACTTGCATTATCTTCATGACGCATGTACAACAAAACATCAGTCCAATGACGACGTTCTTGAGGGCAGCTGATTAAATAACCATGAGGTTAACCAGGCTAACTTCCAAGTTGATTTGGAATCTTATACGATTTATTACTATAAGCAATTGTATTAGTTAAATGTAAATGTTCAGAGTATATTTTCATTAATGTGCTATATATGTGTCTAGCTACTTCCAGATGTTTAGTCTTCCTTGGCCTTCATACAGTGTGATCATTCAATAAATGTTTAATAGATAGGCTTATTAAAGTTTTATTTATTTAATGTAAAACATTAGAAATGATAAATTAGGTTGAAGTAGAATGGACAGTGTAATTGAAATAATGTGGGGTAGAATTTAAATAAACCTCTTTTGTTAGCTTGGAAATTTAAAAGTATGTGACCACAGTTAAGATATAGTGAAATATATCATTATGGAGGAAAAAAGAACAATATTGTATTATTGGTTTCTAGAACAATATTGTATTATTGGTTTCTAGATTCACTACACCAAAGGCTATTATGTGTAGTCTAGTCTAAAAATAGAGGTGATAAAACTAACTTAGCTATGTTTTTTTATTAACTCAAAAACTATCTGGGTTAAGCAACTGCTTATACAAGATTTAAATAAGATGAAGATCAGTGTATAATTATCATTGGCTACAATAGTGCATTATATGAAAGTTTTAATTACTTTTTTCAGTGATTGTTTTACTCTCATTATAATCCCTATCATATAGGAAAAATACCATTACAAAATGTTATTGAGTTACCTGTTTCATTGTGAAATAAATTAAGAAATTTTAAATCATGTTAGTCTGAAAAATTCTATTACTAAGTTAAGGTAACATGGAGAAAGTGTATGTTTTTCTAGGGCTGCGATTAAATCAGGGCTTGGAAACTAGTAAATTGACTTTGATTTGACTTAAGTAAAATATTGTTCCTATTAGAGATGAATATTTGGTAAATCCAGTCTTGTGACTGTTGACTCTTCTGTAATTCAGGGCATAGCAGGATCAGGCTCTGATCTTTAGGAAACCACTAGCTTGTGCTGGGTTTTGCTGATAGAGTGATGTCTCTTAACTATAAGCAGAATTGTGGTAAGTTGAAATTTTAATGAATTTCTGTATATTTTTCTTTCACTATCAGGCTATCAGCTGCAAAGGTCAACACAGTATATCGTACACTCTGTCAAGGAATCAGACTGTGGTGGTTGAGTACACACATGATAAAGATACGGATATGTTTCAGGTAACATCTTTCTTTTTTCATGGAAATTTTTACCACATTTTTTCCTTCGATTCTTCATTTTGAAACATAGTCCGAACTCCTGGCACAATAGTGTTTGGTGATGTCCAAGGGGGAAAAGTTGAAGATAATAGTAAAATTATTCCTGTTTGGTTTTCAAAAGACTAAGAAAACAGTTCTAAAATTGCAAAAAGAAATTATAAAGACTACATTCTCAGATCTCAGTGCAATAAAGAGAGACTCTAAAAACAAGAACAGAGACTTTTAGAGCCAGCTGTATTGAAGGATAGCCAATTAACAATGTTGTGATAGTTTCAGGTGGACAGCAAAGGACTCAATCGTCCATATACATATACATGGGCTTCCCTGGTGGCTCAGATGGTAAAGAATCCACCTGCAACGCTGGAAACCTGGGTTTGATCCCTGGCTTGGGAGGATTCCCTGGAGGAGGGCATGGCAACCCACTCCAGTATTCTTGCCTGGAGAATCCCCATGGACAGAGGAGCCTAGCGGGCTACAGTCCATGGGGTGGCAAAGAGTTGAACAGTTGAGCAACTAAGCACATACGTTATATATACATCTTTTCTCCCCCAAATTTTACTCCCATCCAAGCTGCCTCATAACACTTAGGACAGTTCCCTGTGCTGTGTACAGTGGGTCCTTGTTGGTTATCCATTTTAAATATAGCAGTGTGTACATGTTGATCCCAAACTCTGTCAACTATCCATTCCCCTCCCATCCTTCCCCCTTAGTAACCGTAAGTTTGTTCTTTAAGTCTTATTTGTAAATAAGTTCATTTGTATCATTTTTTTAGATTCCACATATATTGCTTCTCGGCCTTTAGGCTAAGATCAAGTGTAGATTCCACATATAACCAATATCATATGATACTTTTCTTTCTCTGCCTGACTTACTTCACTCAGTATGACAATCTCTGGGTCCATCCATGTTGCTGCAAATAGCATTATTTCATTCTTCTTAATGGCTGAGTAATATTCCATTGTATATATGTACTACATCTTCTTTATCCAATCCTTTGTCGATGGACATTTAAGTTCCTGCCATGTCTGTTGTAACCAGTGCTGCAATGAACACTGGGGTGCATGTATCCTCTCAGACCATGTTTTTCTCTGGATATACACCCAGGAGTGGGACTACAGGGTCATAGAGTAGCTCTATTTTTGGTTTTTTAAGGAACCCTCATACTCTATCCATAGTGGCTGTACCAATTTGCATTCCTACCAACAATACTGGAGGTTTCCTTTTTCTCCATGCCCTCTCCAGCATTTATTGTTTGTGGATTTTTTGATGATAGCTATTTTGACTGGTGTGAGATATCTCAGTGTACATACATAAATGATTTACATTTACCTAATAATTAGCAATGTTGAACATCTTTTCATGTGCCTCTTGACCGTCTGTATGACTTCTTTGGAGAAATGTCTATTTAGGTCCTCCGCCTGCTTTTTGAGTGGATTGTTTGTTGAGTCTCACTAAATCACATCATTGCTTTGTCACCAAAAGAGCAAACGTCAGCATCTTCATATTATTATAAAACCAATTTTGGTTTCAAGGACCTGGGCCCATTAAAAAGGTCTTGAAGACCCTCAGAGGTTCATGGACCACACTGAGAAATGCCGAATTTTACTATACTAACCTCTTAATTTTATAACTGAGAAATTTTTATCTTTGGAAAGAAAGAACTTAACCTTAATTGGGCAAAAATGGCATTGGTGGCAGAACGCAGATTTAAGTCTCCTCAGTTCTCCATTCTCTATGTAATACCTACTGAACCGCTTTAAATAAGGCATGGTAATTCAACAAAAATTTATCGATTTATTAAGAAAATGTAACTCATTTGTTATTTTTACTGAAATTATCTCATTCCTTTTGCAGACTAACTGGACATACTGGAGATTAATGTCAGATTAATCTGAGTAGAGTTAAGCAACTCTTAGAAGGCCCTAAAAAAAAATCAAGCTTATTTTAATTTTTTTCCTCCTTTTAACAAGTTTATGTGTCTAAATTCTACCACTGACAGAAATCACTGAGCAAAAGCATTGCAGCATTCATATTTCTCAAGTATGGACCTTGTTGCTGAGGGCTGTTCAGCCACTACCCATTGAAATGATTTGTAGGTTAACTGAATGTTTAAAAGCAGAACATCAGAATGAATCAAGAAAGGGCCTTTTACTGCATTTCCAATAATGGACTCAGATAATAGGCTCAGAAGTCAAAAATATTATTGTCTGAAAAAGTCAAACCTAGATCTAAATTTAAGAAATTAGTTAAGACTGATAAAATATGTTAATATAGTCAGAATAAGATCTTAGTCATTATTTTCTAGAATAAGGGTAAATAAAGGAACAAGAAATGAGCATAGGTATTGAGAAAGTAGAATATAAAGAATACAGTTTAGAAAAGGAATCAAAGGCAGTGATGAAATGTCTTACAGAGCCCCTGAAAGGGAAGGCAGTGATGCCAGATACATTCTGATCATGGAGGTAAGGAAACTGGCCAGGTCCTGAAACCAGTGTTAGAAACCAGAGGGGGAAATGACCACTAAGTTTCATATGCTTCACACTTAAGTGCTGCAATGTCTTGTGTTTTGATGGGGCTTTTTGTTTTTTTTATTTGGTTTATAGTAGTTCTAGATAGTAACATTTCATTAGCATCTATGTAGTTGAAAAAAATGTTAAGACTGTTTTAAAATTATTTCCTAAAACATTATACATGTGTATGCATGTTTGTGTATGTGGCTCACCAGGTTCAAGCTCATTGTCATAACCTTCCATTAATGAGTTTTATTTCTTGAGCACCTACTACGTGTCAGATCCTCATCTAGTCACTGGAGGTGGACAGGTAAGGCTCCCTCTCATGGAACCTAGATTCTGGAGTAGACAGACACAGAGAAGCAAGCACTACAGCAGGGCCAAAGCCCCACAGCAGAGTGGAGGAGGAAGGAAGTGGTGTGAGATGAACTCAGAGAGGTAGGCAGAGGCCAAGAGGGTAAGGGGCTTTTAGGCCAAGTAAAGAGTTTGAGGATTTTTTAACAAGGAAGAGATAAAATTCTACTTCCGTTTGGTTAAGATATCTCCAAGGACTGTCCAGAGAAGAATGTAGGAGGCAAGTGTGAAAACAGGGAGAAAGATTGGAGGCTGAGGTGATGCAAACCAAGAAAGAGCTGATGACAGCTAGAGCTAAGGTGGGGAAATGTGGAAGGACTGAAGATGTGTTTGGAAGAAGAGTTGATAGAATTTACATGAGGTTAAACATGAGCGTGGAGAAATTGAAGAATCAAGGGTGACTCGTGGGTGTTGATTTTTAGCTTGAGCAAACTGGGTGCCAGTCACTAGGGCTTGAAGAGGATTCAGGTTCTGTTGGAAACATGTTATATTTGAGATGTTTCTTAGATATCCACATGGAGATCGTATATGCTAGACTGAAGCAAAGAGAGAGATCAGGAGTTGGGGGCTAATAAATGGGATTTGATGAGATAACCTGGGGAGAGAACAGAAAGAGAAAGGGGCTGTTTACCAACTAGCCTGGAAGGGTTTCATTAACTTAATACCAGGTACAGATGTACCGGGACATGCTGAGTGTAAGCCCTGGAAACGTTAGCAAGCAGGGTTTCAGTGGAGCCAGGCCTGCTGAGAGCATGATGATGGAGTGGCTCTGGAGTGGGTTACAGGATGAGTAAGGAAACAGAGGTAGTAACTAGTGAGAAGTTTTTCAGGAAGTATTACCAGTAGAAAGAATCAGAGAAATGGAGCTCTAGTTTGAGAATTGCTTTCCAACAAAGGAAACCATTTTTTAGAATGAGAGACTAGTCTAGAACAGTGCTATTCAGGCTGCTTAGCCAAGCAGCGAAACTTCAAGGATGAGGTGAGTGAGGAAGTTGGGAAGGAATGCATTTGGAAATTTGTAATAGTGGTTTGACATTCCTGAAACATCGAAGTGGATAATCATTTTTCTAATACTGATTTTTGTTATATTTTGAAAAGAGATTAAGTGACAGGTTGAAATTTTAAAAGCAAACCAAAAAAAACTAATCCTTTACCTCACAGTCCCAGAATTTGAGAAGTTCCAGAATGTTTGATGGTGGACCGTATGATCCAGTTAGGAGAGAAATGGGTGATTCAGCAGAGCAAGGGGCCAACATCAGGAGCAAAATCCTTGGGAAGGGCACAATACTGGGCTGCCTAGCACCCATGGAGAGATTGGTTGTGGATAGGAGCAGCAATAGCTCATCCTAGTAATTGGAGGGAAGTGAGAAAACAATTTTACAGACACAGGGGCACAGGTAGGATTGATTTGTCCAGAGAAGATGGAGGAGGCCCTTTCAGGTGTTTCTATACCGTTTTACCTGTACTGACTTTGATTGACAACCAGGCAAACCCAAACTTTTCTCATATGCATACACAACTGAAAGTGCCATATGATGCTGTGTGTATCGGTCAGCAGCAGGGAGAAAAATTATCCCTGTGCCTACTATATGAATATAAAATGGAATTCAAATACATCATGGCTGGTCCACATGACTAACCTTAAAGTAATGTAGGATGGATCCAACAGTTGGAGAAAGGACAGGCTCCAAGTCTTCCACATTAGGTGAGTTTTCATTAGGAAAGTGGCCTAGTCCTCCCACCTCTGGCAACATGAGGTTTGTGTCCTGAAGTATAGAAATATACTAACACTCTACAAGTTAGATTTAAGTGGAAGGGAACTGATAAATACTAAATGACCAGGTAAGTATCCTGACTTGAAATAATTGATCCTAGCAGTATGTTCCAGTTGGAATAAAATGTCATGTTTTACAGGCAATTTCAGTTAATTCATCAAGACATTAATTTAATACATGGGGAATGGCCTTTCTTGAAGACAGTAATCTCTGTAGACAAGGAACAGTTGTGTGACGCTGTGCTGGAGTGTGGTTTTAGCTTTGAGCTTTTAACAGAGCGTGAGATCTTTGCCCTCTTCCATGGAGGTGACAGAAATTAGGTCATGGCCTGTGTCTTTGTGAGAGCTTGGGGGTTCGTGTGATGACCTGGCAGTTTTAGAAATTTTCACATTTTACTCCTGAGCTTCAATGGAATAGAGGTTCAGGACAGATAGATTTGTTCCTGAGTTTGGCATAGTCTCCTGTGTACTTTCCTATATTTGTAAAATATTTTGCAGTGTATTTGTTACTTTTCTAATTAAAAAAACTAAAGTGAAATCAAACAGCAAGACAAATGTTGTATAATATCAGGTATATGTAAAATATGAAAAGAATTCAGAATCATAAAAATGGAAATTAGAATGGGAGTTACAGGGGGTTCAGGATTGGGAGATGCTGGTCAAACACTGCCGGCTTCCAACTGTGAGATGAGGAAGTTCTGGGTATGTAATATACAGCGTGGTAATCATAGTTAATAATACTGTATTATAAACTTGAAAGTAACTGAGGAGAGTAGTTTAAAAAAAAAAAAGCCTGAAAAAAATCAGAGCAATCTGAATCAGTAGAGCTTCTGAGTTACACAGCCAGCTTTTCAGTGAATCTAGCAGAGGGAAGATTCTGCAACTTGAGAAAGATGAATTGTAAAGTTTATAATCTAAATTTTATGTTGCACTTTGTAAAAAGGTGTATGCTTTCTAAACCTGAAATCCGTATGTTTAGGATAAATTGCATCTATTTAAGTTTCAGTGAACCCAGTGGTTTAGTTTATTCCAGGAACATTTTAATAGGACAAGAAATTAAGCATTGTTAAAAAAAAATAAGAGAAAATAGATGTCTGTTTGTTTGTTTACAATGCTTATGCTTTAGATAGAATTTTGAGATCAGGATAAAGATACCTAGGAAATTGAATTTGGGGGCCTTATATATGTATGTACCTTGGAGCTCCGTGTGTTCCTTCCATTGACAGCTTCAGAATCAGAGGCACTGCCGTTAGGAGAGAACGTTAATATCATCTTTAACAAGATATTGTTGACATATAAATTTTTTTAAGACATATGTAACATTTATTACTGTTTCCTAGTTAGAGATTCATAGAACATCATTACATAGACAATTTAGTATTTTGTCATGAGGCCTTCCTTACCTGTAACAAATATTTCCCAGCACACAGCAGTACCTGTCTTATTTGGATTTAGTGAATATGAAAAGCTTTGTTGGAACTCTGAAGATCATGCTAATGAAATATATTCTTTCTGGAAGCATTTAAACTTACCAAGGAAGTAAGCCAATAAAATATTATTGTCAGCTTTTTACACCTTGCCAGGATAATTCTTTAAAAATTCAAGATTGAACCGTTGTGACCAGCATTTTTAAACCTTTCATATGACTATCTCAAGCTTTGGGCTGACTTGTGTAGCCTTTTACAATGTTCTCACTTATGCAGAAGAAGGGAAATAGGCACTGGGTCTCTTAAGTCTGGGGTAGGGCTGTGCGCTGTGCCTTGAGTCACAGGTGGGTTCACTCAGTGTAAAAAACCAGGCCCTGGGGTCTGCAGCCTGGCAAGAATAGGGGAAATAGGGCTTTAGTTTGCTGGCTGCCTTTAAAATGTTGTTTTTGTTTTTGTTTTTTCACTTGGAAATACAAGAGGGGAAAAAGGAATGATTTTCTATGACAGTAATAAATTATGTTTCTACCTGATCATAAAGCTGTTTGGGGTGAGATGTGTTTTCTTCCAGAATAGAAAATGGAGCTTTTTTCTTAACATTTAAAATCTGATGGTTGGTTACCATAACATCGCCCTTAAACAAGAGAAGGAACAGATTTAAGATTTTTTATTCTAACCTTCCTAGTAGAAATAATGAATATTAAAGGATCCTGAACACATTTCATGTGATGAATATGGTGACATATTTTTGGATATGAGTGGATCATGAGTTATAATTTGATTTATTTAGGTGGGCAGATCAACAGAAAGCCCTATCGACTTCGTCGTTACAGACACAATTTCTGGCAGTCAGAACAATGATGAAGCGCAGATTACACAGAGCACCATATCTAGGTTTGCCTGCAGGATAGTCTGTGACAGGAACGAACCTTACACAGCACGAATATTCGCAGCTGGATTCGACTCTTCCAAAAACATATTTCTTGGAGTAAGTACTAATAATTAGTACATTGTTTCTAGAAAAACACCCATTATCATCATATATATAACATTTAATTGTGGCCAGAATATTTGCTTTGCAAAATGCTTCTGGTTTTAGATTTTTGAAATTTTAGTTTTCATGAAAAACTTATTAAAAAGCTGAAAATAATTGTCATTACTTGTTATATTTGCCATATTAACTATAAAATGCAGAGTGACTTCTTAAAAGTATGTATATTACCACATATAGCATATTTATGGTAGATTTAAGGGGATTTATTTCAGAAGGAAAAACAAATGATCTGATCTAGATAATGGGGGTTCAAAAGAAAATGTTGTTCATTCATTCAAAAATTTGTTAGTGTTTACTTTGTTCAATATTGGGAGTTACAGACGTGATATCACAAAGAACAAAACAAAACTAAAAGACTAAAAATATCTCTCTTCATAAACTGTCCATGTAAATAAAAAACCCACAATTGTAGAGAATATCCAGTTTTAATATAGTCCCTTTTTGAATCAAGGTATTTTTGCAGGGGGAAGAAAGCTCTTAAGATGGCCTAAATGGTAATAAAAAAGGGTCATCCCATATTACAAGAAATGCCTAGGAAAGCCAGCTGCAAGATTGGTTGACCCAGTGATTCTGTAACATCAGGGGAACCAGATTTATGCCATCTTGCCCCCTGGGCACACCAGTGTCCTCAGACGAGGTTCCTTCCACACCCTCCCCGCAGCATGACAACTCCGTGAAGGAGGACAGCAAGGGCCGTAGATCTTCCTGGCCTCTCTTTGAAGAGCAAAGAAACCTTTACAGGAAGCTTCCCAAAAGACTCACTTAGGTCTCATTGGCCAGAACTCAGTCATATGCCCACCCCTAAACCAGTCATGAGTGGCTTACCTCAATCAGATTTACCCAAGTCCTGTGAACACTATCTGGCTCTGTCTTCAAGAAAAAATGGCCAGGTGTCCAATCCGCCGTCATATCCAGTCACTTGCGCCTTCCACCCTTGGTGATGTAAACACTGGTCCGTACGAAAACAAAACATAGTATCCACAGCCTGTCGGCCTAACGTATTTTGAAATTTTGTTTGTTGAATGAAAAATTTTCACTTCCTTCTAGTACTTACCTGATAATGAGTTCATACAAAACATTTTTAGATAATAGGATGAAAGCACTGCACAAATAGAATTGAAGAATACATACTGGATTCCTGAAATCACCTGGGGGTAGGGGGAATGTGGTTCGAAAAAGAATCTCTGAGGTAGAGGCCCAGACATCAGGTTTTCTTTTGTAAAAGCCCAAGATAAACATAATCTGTCTCCAATGATAAATCATTCATCTATTCTTACACTTCTTTCATTTTCTCAGACTAATTGCATATTTTATCCTTCTGATTATTAGCTTTAAATAGAGAATGAAAATTGCTCACTTTCCTCCCCTCTGCCCTTACCCAATATTTTGGAGAGATTCTAGAACCTTTTTGTGTTGAACAGCATCTTTTCTGTGGCATGCTTTCCAGGAAAAGGCAGCAAAGTGGAAAAATCCTGACGGCCACATGGATGGGCTCACAACGAATGGCGTGCTGGTGATGCATCCGAGAGGTGGCTTCACTGAGGAGTCCCAGCCTGGGGTCTGGCGTGAGATCTCTGTCTGTGGAGACGTGTATACTTTGAGAGAGACCAGGTCTGCGCAGCAAAGAGGAAAGCTGGTAAGTGGACTTCACACAAAAAAATGTATGAAACTACAAACGCATAACTTGAACACTGTCATTTTTCTCCCCAGAAATTCAAAATCTTTGTCTAGGTCTTAGGATTGTGTTCCATTGACCCAGGAGAGTAGGGATTTTCTCCGAAAATAAGAAGGAAATGGCCTTATTCACTATCATGATTAAGCTTTTCCAATAGTGGAAGAAAATTACCTTTTGTTCCTAACTACATTAAAAGCATAATTCTGTCGCTATACTTCACCATTGAATTCTGTTTAAATTCACTTTAAGAAAAATGAACTTATTTTTAGTGTAAAACTTTACTAATTTGGAAAAATCCTGAGCAGTCTAAAACTAATTAGTGAAAATTATGAATTACAGAATTATTTACTAGACTTTCTGGGGACAAAAAAGATAATTAAGTTAGCTTTTTTTTTCTTGTTCATAATAAGAAATTATAGTTCCCTATATAATTCAAAGTCATAGTTACAGTTTTACTTGAAATAGTTCATATAGTACCTTGACTTGGCATGTTAATATTTTTTCTATAAATATTACTGCTTATCCAAAATGCCCTAAAGCTGTTGGGTTTTTAACCCTTTCTTCTATGGAGAATCATTTTAATACCTTAAATAGTAAGTTTTGGGTTTCTCATACTGCCATGGCCATGTGGCACAGCACTAAAAGGTTCTTAATAAATTTTCCACTCCAGTACTTTTAATTAATTGTTGTGTAGAAACTAGAAAAGAGAGAACAAGTGTTTTCTTTCAAACTACCAGGGAAATAATAATATAAATAATAGAGGATGTGATCTAGTTCACAGAGAAAGATGATATTTCTAAGACAGAAAAAAGATGGGGGATTTTACAAAGCTGGTTTGCTATTCTCTACTAGATGTTTGTTTTTAGGGGATAGTTATTTTTATTACTTGTACACCATTATTCAGCTACAGGTATAGCTTCTGCCTTTTGTGATAAAATCCCAATCTTGGAGCATTATGACTAAAAATGAAAAACACTTTCTATGAAAGCCAAACAAATTCAATAAACTTTGCTGAAATATGTTTCAAGAGATTGTAAATAGGAAAGAGGATGTAAAATCTGTTTTCCAGAAAAAGTTTTGATCATAGGCTAATTCTACACAAAACTGGGTCAGGATGGTCAAATGAGTTATTGATCATTATAATAGCAATAGTAAGTAATCAGTGTATGTTTGCTGGGTGCAGACACTGCATTAAATGAGCTAATGTCTCAGAAATGTTAATCTGCACACCAGCCTCGTCAGGGAAGTGGAATTATCCCTGTTTTATGGATGAGGAAGGCATGGCATAAAGAGGTTGAATAATATTGCCCAGTCACAGAGTTAGAAGATGGCAGCAAATGGGATTTTAAATCAGGAGGACCTAAGTTTAAGTTTGAACTCCTGGCTTCTACTCAGTACCATCTTGTAGGGAATCATACTTGGTTGGCACCTTGATAGAATACCTTGATTCTATCACCCTGGGCAGATAGAAAGCATACACTGGTGTCCAGGAGGGCACAGCACAGGATGAGTTTCTTGCCAACTCTCATTCATGTATTTTGTTCAGAGATGGTTGTTACTTTTACATGCTCTGAGAGGGAAAACAGGCTACTGTTTGAGCAGTTACTGCATGTTAATAGTTCTGAAGTCAAGCCATAGTTCCAGGTCCTGATCTACCTACCACTTAGCTTATATGCACGTAACTGGAATAATACTAGTACCTACCCTTTAGAATTACTGTGAGAACTGAGTAAGAATGAAGCAGTGCTATACCCAGTCCCGAATTAGTTGCCATGACTAAGCAGGAGCTAAGGGCTGGGAATCTGACAATGACCAGGATGTCCAGGGCTCTGCCCTCAAATTGTGGGGCCTGGAAAACGTTACAGGCGAGGCCACAAATCATTAGCATATTTTGTGATCCGCACAGAAAGTACTGGAAGGCATAGGAGTCTCTCAGAGGGACACCTATCCTAGACATAGGAGTCAAGAATATGTGGAAAATAAGAGACCATAGACTTAAAAGTTACGTTATTTACCAAGAACTGCCCTGCAGGAAGAAAAAAGTTTGTTCAACCTGGCTAAGGGGGCGGAGACAAGATGGTAGAGTGGAAGAATATGAGCTCACTTCTTTGTATGAAAAGTGAAAATCACAATGAACTGTTAAACAGTCATCAACCAAAAAAACAACCCACCAGAATCTACCACAAAAGATACCCTACATCCAGTGAAAAGGGAAGAAGCCCCATTGGAGTGGTAGAAGGGGCACAGTCGTAATAAAATCAAACCAATAGCCACTGGGTGGATGTCCCACAAACTAGAAAATAATTATATCACACAGGTTCTCCCACAAGAGACCTCAGAACCACACATTAGGCTCCCAGCCTGGGGTTCTGGCAATAGGAGGAGCCGTAAGGGGCAGCTGTGGCTCACTGTGGGGACAAAGACACGGGCAGTGGTAGTTCTGAGGAGTACTCATTGGTGTGAGCCCTCCTGGAGGCTGCCATTTTTTCATGAAAACCTAGCCCCACCCAACAGCCTGTAGGCTCCATTGCTGGGGTGCCAAACAACCAACAGGGTGGGAGCACAGCCCTCCTCAGTGGGAGACAGGCTGCTTAAAGTCTCCTGAACACACACAACATATCCCTTGACATGACCCTGTCCACCAGAGGGATAAAACCCAGCTCCACCCAGCAGTGGGCAGGAAGCAGTCCCTCCCACTAGGAGACCTGCACAAGCCTCTAAGACCAGCCTTATTCACCAGGGGGTAGATTGCAGAAACAAGAACTACAACCTTGCATCTTTCAGAATAGACACTGCAATCACAGAAAGCTACACAAAATGAGATGCCAGAGGGAGGAATATACCCTAGACAAAGGAACAGATAAAACCCCAGAAGAACAACTAATTGAAGGGGAGATCTACCCAAAAGCAATTCAGAGTAACGTTAGTAAAGATGATCCAGGGATCTCAGAAAAAGAATGGAAGCACACACTAAGATAAATGTTTGACAAAGACCTAAAACAGAAGAACAATACAATAACTGAAATGAAAAATACACTAGAAGGAATCAGTAGAATAACTGAGGCAGAAAAATGAATAAATGAGCAGGAAGACAGAATGGTAGAAATCACTGCTGTGGGACAGAATAAAAGAATAAAAAGAAATTAGGACAATCTAAGAGACCTCCAGGACAAAATTAAATGCACCAACATTAACATTATAGGGGTCCCAGATGGAGAAGAGAAAGGACTTGAGAAAATATTTGAAGAGACAGTAGCTGAAAACTTCCCTATCCTGGGAAAGGAAACAGTCACCTAAGTCCAGGAAGCACAGAAGTCCCAGGTAGAATAAACCCAGAGAGACATGCCAAGATACATAGGAATCAAACTGACAAAAATTAAAGACAAAATATCGATATTTACCTTGAATATAAATGGATTTAAATGTATCTAACCAAAAGACACAGACTGGCTGAATGGGTACAAAAACAAGACCTATATGTATGTTATATTGTCTACAAGAAACCCACTCAGACCTAGGACACATACAGACTTAAAGTGAAGAAATAGAAAAAGATACTCCTTGCAGATAGAAAAAGAAAGCTGGAGCAATACTCAACAGATATAATAGACTTTAAAATAATGACTTTATAAGAGACAAGGAAGATCACTACATAATAATCAAGGGATTGATCTAAGAAGATATAACAATGATAAATATTTATATACCCAATATAGAAGCACCACAATACATAAAGCAAATGCTAACAGCCATAAAAGGGGAAATCAACAGTAACACAGTAATAGTAGGGGACATCAACACCATATTTATACCAATGGACAGATGCAGAAAGAAAATAAGGAAATAAAAACTTTAAATGACACAGTAGTCCACACTAGATTGATATTTATAGGAAATTCCACCTAAAAGCAGAATAGACTTTCTTCTCAAGCAATAGAATGAACATGGAACATTCTCCAAGAGAGATCCCACCTTTGACCACAAATCAAGCCTTGGTAAATGTAAAAAAATTGAAATCATATCAAGCATCTTTTCCATTCACAATGCTAGGCGATTAGAAATCAATCACAAGAAAAAGAAAACTAAAAAACGCAAACACATGGGGGTTAAACAGTACTCAATAACCAAGAGATCACTGAAGAAATCAAAGAGGAAATTTAAAAATACATAGAAACAAATGACAATGAAAGCACAACAATCCAAACTCTGTATATTACTGTGTTAGTTGCTCAGTCATGTTCAGTTTGCAACCCCATGGACTGTAGCCCACCAGGCTCCTCTGTCCATGGAATCATCCAAGAAAGAATACTGGAGTGGGTAGCCATTCCCTTCTCCAGGGGATCTTCCCAACCGAGGGATCAAACCTAGGCCCCCTGCATTGCTGGAAGATTCTTTACTGTCTGAGCCAACAGGAAAAAGCAGTCCTAAGAAGGAAGTTAACAACAATTTAATCTCACCTCAAGAAACAGGAAAAATCTCAAATAAACAATATAACCTCATACCTAAAGCAACTGGAGAAAGAACAAAAGCAAACCCCAAAGTTACTAGAAGGAAAGAAATCATAAAGATTAGAGCAGAAATAAATGAAATAGAGAAAAAGAAAATAATATCAAAGATAAATAAAACTAAAACTTGGTTCTTTGAGGAGATAAAATTTATAAACCTTTAGCCAGAATCTAGAAAAAAAGGATTCAAATCGATAAAATTAGAAATGAAAAAGAAGAAATTACAACTGACACTGCAGAAATGCAAAGATCATAGCAACTATATCAGATAACCTGGAAGAAATGTACAAAACAACTTTCCAAGACAGAACTAGAAAGAAATAGAAAATATAAACAGACCAATCACAAGTAATGAGATTGAAAGTGTAATTTAAAACCTTCCAACAAACAAAAGCCCAGGACCAGATGGCTTCACAGGGAAATTCTATCAAGCATTTAAAAAAGAGCTAACACATC